CCCGGCATTAGCTCCTCGGTTATTTCTTTCCATGTGGGATTGCAAGTAGAAGTAACAAAAAATATCAGGTCTTCCGTAAGTTCGTACATAGGCGAATGCGTCTTGTGTGTACTCATGTAGGTAGCGGGGACAGTTAACGAATGATGAGGGCAGAATTACCATTTTACCTAAATCTCTGGGGTTTACATTGGCGTCGCTAGAAACTGCATCTTGTAAATGTATACAATTCCCTACGCACAGCTTTTTTTGATTTAAAGATATATAACGGAGACATTCACTTTCTACCTTCACATACATGTTTACCAAAAATTGATGAAATAATTGTCTACCGGGCTAATAGGTTAAAATTATTTTCTCGCAACATCATATGATACGCATAAAAATCCATACTTGATACTTTTTTGTTCGGAGTAGGCTCCTTTGTGACCGGGTTAACGAGTGGAATTTGAAAATGATAACCCTCTTGTCCTTTGCAATAAATCAATGGGTATTGCAGAGCGTCATAAAACTCGTGTGTATCGGCTACCCGTATCAACGTATCATCACGTGCTCGCAAGACAATTTCTAATGAAGAAAATTGATCACCACTAATTACGGCTGCTATTTCGTTTATCAAACGTAGTGTAGCGCCTTTCATGCTCTCCTCAAAGGGTCCGATCTGCGTGAATGACGACTTTGTAATCCTCTTCAGGTAGGTTTTCTGAAGCAGTTTTAAATGTTTTGACTAAAATGTTACGTTCATGCAAGAATCTTTTAATTTTGAATACTGTGTCTTTCTCAACTCCATGGATAAATTGGCAGCGACGGTCTACATCAATTTCTTCGTCACCCACAAAATATACTTGTAAAAATTTATGCTCTTCGTTTTTAGTTGGAAAAAGTGAACCTATTCTATGATAAATTTGCCCTTGCACCGTATATTTAGGCGAAAATCCCGGCATTATTATTTCCCGGTCAACTCCGAAGGACGTCATTTGAAAGCATGAGTTATATTTCCGGATCCTGTTTAAAAAGCGCCGTGACTCATTAGCATCATATAAAAAGAGAGTTTTCAAAGGTTCTTCTGGTTCCCCAACTTTGCCATTGGAATAGCACATGCGTGCGGTCTCATCTTTCCATTTTAAAGCGCTGCTTAATCGACACGCCTTGTCCATCAGTCCGATAACAACTAACCTGTGATTTTTATAATCAATCAACGGATCATAATTGAATGCTGCGTCATTAAAAACCGACCAATTGTTTCTTTGAAAATTTTGTCGACGTTCAGTATGGATGTGCATTTGCATCTCTTCGCGCCTGTGTCTGTTCTGGTGTTTCAGATGCCCTTATATTAGATTGACGTTCAGCTTGCTCAATGAGTCTGTGTTGAGATTCATCAGGTGTTTCCGCGGCTCTTATAGCGGCCTTACGTTCCGCTTATTCGAATAGCCTTTGCTGACTTTGAGCAGGTGTTTCAGTAGCTCGTAAAGTAGATTGACGCTCTGCCTGTTCAAGACACCTTTGCTGACTTTGATCAGGTGTTTCAGTAACTCTTAAAGTAGCTTGACGCTCTGCTTGTTCAAGACGCCTTTGCTAAAAGTTTGTCCTTCTTTCACGTCGCAACAGAGCGTCGGCATGGCATGAATTTTGGTATGGGGATAGTTCGGTGGCTGTAGAGTGACATAAGCTACTATTTTCCGCGGAAAAACATCTCATTCCCGGTCCCGTGGGAAATATTCTATTTGGAATGAGATGTTTTTCCGCGAAAAAAGTAGCTTATTTCACTGTACAGACTCATTCCCGTGGGAAAATAGAATATGTTGCAAAAGTTTTTCCTACTTTCACGACGTACAGAGCGTCGGCATGGCATGATTTTTGTATGTGGATAGTTTGGTGGCTGTTGAGTGACATAGGCTACTTTTTTCAACAGAAAAACATGTCATTCCTGTGGGAAAATTGAATATGTTGCAAAATTAAATTCAGCTAGGTGGCGCCACCGTTATTCTACAAGACGGACGACGGTACGATGGACGAACACGGAAGGTCAGAATATCTGGTTTATTATGTCTTTTTACCAAAATTACGATAAAAAATGTATGGATCTGTATTTTTCCACGCAGGACTGGGAAGAGAGCGATAAAAAACATAAAATTCACCAGCTGATTTTCTTCAAACGTTTTGGTGCATTGTAATTCACAGAATAAGCGATAACCTCGCAGACGATATTAAGTAATCCGTTGATGCTCTGCCTACCCCGCAAGGGTTACAGGCGTGATTATAAGTCTAGATCAGAAATACTATCACCACCTGTCATGCTTTTATCCTTAACTATTACTTAGAAACAGTTCTTAGTAAGCCTTATTAATAAGCCTTAGTAATATTTATTGAGCGGAAATGAATACAGTTCTTAAATGAGGTTATGAATGAATCGGTATTACAATAAGAAAAATTGTGTAAAATTATAAGAAAAATAATATATGAGAGTTCTTATTAACTAACGTATACATAGTTTAAATTGATTCCACTAGATGTCGTTACTAGGTTTTTAAAACGCGGCAACGACATGTTTCCTGACATGTACTTAACTCCCACCGTTGAGCCGCGCGTCAACTTATAGTGCATACGGTACATATATGCTTAAATTGTTTCTATTTCGTAGCTTATTCGACTATCTGCTTTCGATTTCGGTTGTTTGTTATTTGCTTTGTGATTTGGTTAAGGTTAAATGGATTTATATTGGCTTTCATTTTCGTATTTGTGTATTTTCTTGGATCGGTTTTGTTGATTTGGTTGGTATTCCTTTATACATATTTAGACTCTGGCTTTGATTTTGGATTCTGTTTATTTAGAATCGTGAATTGGTTTTCGTTGTTTTAGGTCGCTTAACAATATTTCTAAGGAATATTAATAGTAGAGATAGTGTATACGGTACCTATACACTTACTTCTTTTTTTAGTTGGTTCTATTTGTATTAACTACTGCTTTCGATTTCGATTTTCTGCGATTTGTTTTGTTATTTGGTTTAAGTTGATTCGATTTTTTTTTGGCTATCGTTTTCATATTCGTGTTGTATCTTGAATTGGTTTTGTTGTTTTGATTTTAAAAAATATTTAAAAGGAATATTTATTCCTTTTCGATATTTTGGATTTGCTTTTAAAAAATATTTAAAAGGAAATTCGACTCCCTTTAGGTATTTTAACTTTTTTTTTTCTAAATAGGTTTTTTGTTACTTCATAATGCCTCGCAAACGTAAGTCCAGCCTTTCAAAAGTATCTTCTCAAAGACAAGCGAAAAGATTAGCTCGATTGCTAGAATCTTTAGAAGATGCTGAACTGAGATGGCTAGAACAAGCAGAGCGTCAGGCTGCTTTTAGAGCATCTGAGACACCTTTTCAACGTCAGCAAAGGCGTCTTGGATAGACAGAGCGTCAGGCTGCTCTAAAAGCTTTCAAAACACCTTTTGAAAGTTAGGAAAGGCGTCTTGAACAGGCAGAGCGTCAAGCTACTTTAAGAGCTTCTGAAACATCTTCTCAAAGTCAGCGAAGGCGTCTTGAACAGGCAGAGCGTCAAGCTACTTTAAGAGCTACTGAAACACCTGCTCAAAGTCAGCAAAGGTGTCTTGAACAGGCAGAGCGTCAAGCTACTTTAAGAGCTACTGAAACACCTGATCAAAGTCAGCAAAGGCGTCTTGAACAGGCAGAGCGTCAATCTACTTTAAGAGTTACTGAAACACCTGCTCAAAGTCAGCAAAGGCTACTCGAACAAGCGGAACGTCAGGCCGCCTTAAGAGCCGCGGAAACACCTGATGAAACTAATTACAGACTCATTGAGCAAGCTGAACGTCAATCTACTATAAGGGCGTCTGAAACACCAGAACAGACATAGGCGGGAAGAGATGCAAATGCACAGCTTCGAGCTGATTGTCGACAAAATTTTCAAAGAAACAATTGGTCGGTTTTTAATGACGCAGCATTCAATTATGATCCGTTGATTGATTATAAAAATCACAGGTTAGTTGTTATCGGACTAATGGACAAAGCGTGTCGATTTTGCAGTACTTTAAAATGGAAAGATGAGACCGCAGGCATGTGCTGTTCCAATGGCAAAGTGTCTCTTCCGTTACTTGGGGAACCAGAAGAACCTTTGAAAACTCTATTTTTATATGATGCTAATGAGTCACGGCGCTTTTTAAACAGGATCCGGAAATATAACTCATGCTTTCAAATGACGTCCTTTGGAGTTGACTGGGAAATAATAATGAAGCTGATGTAAACTTTGTGAAAAAACACATAGAGTCCTTCCCTGTCATGGAACCACACTACGTAAGGCAAACTTCTAAGCGTCGTTATCTAGATGCTTCGTTTTCCATCACGAAAATGCATCAACTTTATAAAGACAAGTGCACTGAAAATAATATGATTCCGGTATCTGAAATAACGTACAGAAGAATATTTTGTACCCATTACAATTTTAGTTTTTTTGTTCCAAAAAAGGATCAATGTTTAATATGGTCCAATTTCAACAAAGCTAGTGACGACGAAAAACTACTGTTGAAAGGGGAATACAAGGTACATTTAGCAAGGAAAGCGTCCTGTTACTCGGAAAAAGCGAAGGACAAATAAAGAACAGAGAAAGATAAAGAGTTTCGCTGTGTAACATTCGACTTACAAGCTGTGTTACAGATACCTTCTGAACTGGTGGGACAGCTTTATTATTATCGAAAACTATGTGTTTACAATATCTGTATATACGAAGTAGCGCTGCCAAATGACGCTTATTGTCTTGCTTGGTCCGAAATTAATGGGAAACGAGGCAGTTCCGAAATAGGAAGTATCCTACCTTTCCTCGTGCGTTCCTTCTTATGTAACCGAAGTTTGTCTGTATTCTGATACGTGTGGAGGACAAAACCGGAACCATTATGTTACTGCATTACTTATATTTGCAGTCCAAAACATTTTTCACTTACGAAAAATTGAACATAAGTTTCTTGAATCAGGACACAGTTACATGAAGGTAGACAGCATGCACAGCAGTATTGAGCCAGCAAAGAAAAATTCTGAGGTTTACTGCATGTCTGATTATTTATCAATTTTCAAACGAGCAAGATCGAACAAAACAATAACTGTTGAAGGTAATTCGTTCAAAACGCCCTACAAAAAGAAAGAATTTAAATACAACGAAATTTACGATTTAAAAAAATTAGCTGATGAAACTGTTTTCAATCGCTCAAAAAATAATAACGGAAATCAAGTGAAGTGGCTCAAAATAAAGAGAATACGACATCTTCACGAAGAGAGCTCCAAAATTTATTTTAATTATGACATGTCTGTAACGTTCTTATACATCGATATCTCAAAAAATACGGAGCCTTCTCAACGTCTCAGTACTAGAGTTAAAAAAGGCAAAGAAACCACTACGCCTCAGACTAGTGTCTTAAAACACTTTTACTTGAACTCTTTACCCATAAGTGAAGTTAAAAAGAGAGATCTTCTAAGTTTATGTACTAAAAAAATAATTCCTGAGGAATGCCATGGTTTGTACTCTTCTCTACCAACTGCAACCAATCAAGCAGATCGTTTACCTGAACCTTCAATTGACGAAGAATTATCAGATTACAATCCTTAATAGAATTAAAAGCCGTTTACCTAAAAGAATTCGTTTTAATTAATTGACTTTTATTGTTCTTCATTAGTGATCGGAGATTGATTGCCATAATTATGGGTTAAGGAATAAAATTGATTGATTATTAAAAAATCGTTTTATTTATTATCGTTTCATAAATTACCTATGTAAAAATTAATTTCTTTTTATTTAATTGATCACTTTTGTATAATGTTTATAGTACCTAATAAGTGACATAATTACGCTAAAATTCTACAGGCAAAACAAGTTAAAAGTATCAAAATTATCATTATTTAAGCGAACTTTCAAAAAAAATCTTTCCTATCAAGTTATTGGTGTAAAATACAATAAGCCATTATACAAAACTGAAATGAGCTTTTAAAGTCAATGAATTCAGAAGATATATCACGTTTGTTAAGTACAGGTAAAACATATTAAATGGAGTCCACTTTCGATCTTAATTAAATTCTATACAGTTTTTACTAATATTAAATTTTATATAAGAGTAAATTTTAAAAGAAGGGTTGTTAGTGCAAAATTATGCTTTAACAATTTTTTTATTAATGAGTTTGAAATAGATCAAATTAAAACTTAAACTTTGAAAAGTCATTTACTCAAATTGACACTAACTGCACTTATTACTTTTTACCTGTAAACAGACGATATAACAATAAGTTTATTTTTTGCTACAATAGTTATTTTTCATTTCAATAAGTAAAACCCTTTGTTTAAATGATTGGAAACACGTAAGAATAAATTGTCATTCCATTAATTAAAGATATGATAATTTCAATGAAGTAAACAATAAAATTAACGTAAACAATAAAACTCTTCGTCATATTGCGGATGTCTATCAAACTAATTCATTTACTGGCAACAAAACTGACGGGAGTATGTCAAAAGTCTGTGATGAAATTTTGTTACGAAGTCGTATGAATTTTTTATACTGAAGGCTTATTAGTAATACTGGATTAAAAAGAATAAATTCTTAACATATGGTGAACTATACAACTTTAAAAAAGTTTTGAAATTTGGATTACTACTCCCTTATATAACATTTTAAACATGTTCGTTGATATTTTAATAATTAACCTGAGAGGCATTTGATACTATAGTGAGCCACATAAATTATGGCTGTTGCGTGAAATAGTTTAACAAACATTTATTTTCATTTGTCTTTTACTATACTATATTGAAGAAAGTGTTACACGGCTAACACAGTCGACATAGCTGTATAGCGCTCGCCATGTAACTAGATCCAAGATAGCGTCGACTGTGCATGTTTTATCTGTAACATTATGTTCATTTATTTCAATAGTAGGCATTTTCAAATCACACCCTTTTCAACTGACTAAAAAAGGAGAAGGTTGTCAATTGTCGGAATCTTTTTTATATTTTATGTATGATCGACGATTACTCGAAGACGATAAACCCAATTAGGAATTCGTAGGCAACAAAGTCATAAGTTTGTAACGAAATTTCGTTACGAAGTCGTAAGAATATTCTATAGTGAAGATTTATTAGTAATGCTGGATTAAAAAGAAAAATCCTAAACAGATGGAGAACTATACAACATTGAAAAATTTTGAAGTTTCGATTGCTACTCCCTTATTTTAACATTTTAAGCACGGTCGTTGACATTTTAACAATTAACATGACAGGTATTTGATACTACAGTGAGCTACATAAGTTATGGCTGTTGAATAAAATAGTTTGACATTTTTTTAATTAGTTTTTGCTATAGTATATTGAGAACACATTTAACATAGCTGTGCATATTGCTTACCATGTCAATTGACCCAAGATAGCGTCGACTGTGCATCTTCTACCTATAACATTATGTCCATTTATTTTAATAATATTATGAAACAGAAACAGAAACTTTTTTATTCAATGTAGATTATAACAATACCTATTGAAAGTCACTTTTTTCATTTACCACTGGTTCGCAAAAAAAATCAAAAAAAAATCCAGACAGGGATTGAATTTGGGTTGCTTGCTTGTAGGTGTTTTGGCCCTCATTTGGCTGTAATAATTAGATTAACCAGGTACATAGTTTCAAAACTTTTTCATGTAATATAGTGCTAAACATCTTGACACCCTGAGGTCATAGACAACATCAAGTGACTGCTGACCTTCTTCGAGGAGGTTTCATGCCTTGAATAATTATAATAATACTGGTTACAGACAAAATATGTGCTTAGTTTAACTTAACTAACTAAAGTAACTAAACTAGCTCTTTCAAATGAATGTTATTCAGAAGATTTATTTTTATAAACATACATATGCAACATTTCAGCTCTAAGAAACTAATAGTTTCGAAAAAAAAAATTGCAAACATATTTGTGTTTGCAATTTTTTTTTTCGAAACTATTGGTTTTTTATTTTTTTTATTTTAATAAATATTAAAAATTTTATCAATAATATTATTATATTATATTGTTAGTTTTTATGCAAGTTGTGTTATGGTTGTATAAAATATAAATATTTTAAATAAAAATATAATTATTTTCACTGCTATTAAAATTAAAAATGAGTAATATTGCATTACTTATATAAAATACATCTTACGGTAAAAAAAAATTCTGGCTAAATTTACTTTTTACCAATGAAACTTTTTATTCAATGTAGATTATAACAATACTTATTGAAAGTCACTTTTTTCGTTTACGACTGATTCGCAAAAAAACCTCTGTCCTGGGAAGAACCAGCAAGAAACCCAGCGGGACAATTTTTTTTCCAATAATAGCTTACAATCATGTTTACAATTAACAACACAAGACAAAGTAGAAATAGCTTGGATCACCCTTCCCAGGGGTTATTATCATCCATAAATTCCTTAATATTATAATTATATAATTTTTATACAAACTTAGTTTAATAACATTTTTGAACTTTGTGTATGACAAATTTTGTATATTTTCTGGGATTTTGTTGTAAAAGCGTATACATCGCCCCAAGAACGAATTACTGACTCGGTGGAGTCGAGTAACTGGTTCTACTGGCTTGTGTCTGTTCCCAGTGTTTACTTATGTATTTTGTATTTTGAAATTACACCTTTGGTTCCTGACTTCAAAAAAGGAGGAGGTTCTCAATTCGCTGCAATATTTATTATGTTTTATGTAATATGCTCATCAATTGGAGAATCCTTTTTTCCAGTTGGTACAATTTAAATTTTATCGCAATTGGTCAAACGGTTTAAAAAAATCAACAATCCATTATTATATTTATATTGTAGTCAGTGTACAAAATTTTTAATTTTACCACTTGTTACACAATTTATGCGATTCATAATTCTTTGCCTACAAAACAGAAAAATAATTGCTAAAAGAAAATTAAAATTTGTGGGCAACAAAGTTATTGAGAAAAAATGGTTAAGTGTCATTTAATAACAAATACAATCGTATTGAAATTGTATTTTCATGATGAATTAACACAGTTATTTATAAACATAACTATCATAGATAACCTAAACAAGGTGTTAAGCGTACCGTGCCTATGGATGGGGTGAATCCAGTTGCAAACGGTGCCTACCAGAGACCGATTCGGGTATTATTTTAGCTGTTCACTCGGCATGCGGGGCTCTGCCGGGGGTGAACGAATATTTTCTTAGCTAATCGTGGGACCAGAATGGACGAAAATCGACATCTTGGCCTTAGGCGCTGACGATAGGCCTTATAAACTTAGTGGAGCTGCAAGGAAGAGATTTCATAGGCTGATAGCAGCTGAGGTAGGAGCGGAAGAGACTCTCTCTCTCTGCCAGAAGCATTATCCAAACACTTCAAAACTTTCTCTGTCCAAACCTCTCCCAGCTAAGAAGGCGAAAAAACACAGTCGGTCTGTGGAGGAGTCCCCCACAGACGAGCCCAGGAAGTCTGTGAAGCCGGCAACGGATGAGAAGAGACTCAGCATCAGTTCCGTAGCTGGCTCCATGCATGTAGGAATTCGCAATTTGAGCAGATATGGCTGATCCACCGGGCACTAACCCAGGCTATCGATAAGACGGACTGTGGTGTGCATCCAGAAATGGGACCAAAATTTTGCTAGAAACGAGGCCTTCCATCGCAGTCCTCAGGGGTGACAGCGCATATGCATTTTGCTTCATAACTGGGAATAAATGAAGAAGTGTATGGGCCACAGCATCCACTTACCATCATGGACTGTGCGCTCGTTTGTCATTCTTAATCTATACAAAAAAAATAACTCTCTATACGTAACATAATATGGGGTTTGAATTGGGTCACCCATCCGGCCTCACTTTTAAATTTCTTAGACCTTGTTTCAAGTTTTATAACCTTATAAAACTTATGGTAATTATATTCAGTATGTAGTTATTTTGCTTTTAATAAGGGTTTAACTACATAGCATTTGGTTATCTATAAATCACTTAAATATTGAATTACTAAGATTGGACCTACTACAGCTCGGAGCTTAAGGCAATCATTTTATATATTTTTCAAGATTTACTCACAAACATTTTCGTGCCCAAGGCTTAAGTCAATCAATATACTCAAAATGCGTTATTAGTCATAACTATTTGAGTACGTTACGTTCTACATCGAACCTAACTTGATTCGAAAACTGATGATATTTATGATAAACTATGACTGAAATAATAAAAATTGATTTTCATTTTTAAAAGCCATATCATGCTTAATGATCATTATCGTACGAGCCGATAAGTATCGAAATTACAGCCTTTCACGATTCCACTGCTGAAAATAGGCCACGCTAAAGAATCCCAAAAAGCACCGTCCTGGGCCACCTGTATCCATTGATGCAATGTATAATAGTTTTTAATTATTCAGCAGTCCAATAGCAGCTGGTAATTGATTCTCGAAGCCCTTAGATTAAATCCATTTCCATTACAATTGAGTGAAGCCAATGAGCAGATTCATTGTGCAGTTTAAACAATAGATACATAACTAAAACTTTGTCCAATATTGCGCTGAGAATAACAGAAATGTGCCAATTGTGTTACTTGTGCTAGACAAGTCGTGCTA